GATTGCTCTCAATTTGCATGTTATATTCTAAGATTGAATCTTGAGAGGTTCATTTCACTGGTATCGGAGCTGGAACCCGTTGCACTGCGGTGGTGGAAGAAAGCCGRYAAGGCATAAGGCCGGCGGGTGTGTGCGTGTCGGGGTTTCACTGTAGCAGGCGAGAAGAAGGAAAAAGGTGCTAAATCAAGTTTGGAACGAGATCTACGCACCTGCAGAAGACGAAGATCGGCGGGAAGCGGCATGGTGAAGACCCAAGTGAAGTGCTTTCTGCCCTTAGCCCTGCCTGCTGGATCTTTTTGCTATTTTTTGGTGAAATTTCCACGTATTTTCTTGGTGACGGCGGCTGCAGGTCAGTTACTGTAGGTGTCACTGTAGCGACAACCCCGTCAAGCTCGAGTCAGACCCTGAAGTAGGTAAGGATAAGTGTCGGGAGTAGGTCTCAGTGGTGAGGAGGTGGAGCACACTTACTTGCTGTGCTGAATTACCGCTATGGATGACTATCCGATGTTCGCCTTCTTGGCTCTCTCTGTTGTATGGGAGCCACTGTTCCGCATTGTTTTTCCGCTGGGATTCTACTGGATTGTTAGACACTGTACCACGACCAAATCCGGTATGACCACACAGCCATACTTAGCAGCAGAAGAGACCCAAATTGCTGAGAAGTTGAGGGAGCAGAGAGAAAGGAAGGAGGCAAAGAAGAAGCGAAAGGAGGAGGATTTGAAAAAGAAGTTAGAAGAAGAGAAAATAAAAATGGAGGAAGAAATGAAGAGGAAGGAGGAGAAAATGAAAAAACAAATGGAGGCGGAAGAAGAAGAAGAAAAAAAAAAAAAAGAAGAAGAAGAAGAAGAAGAAGAAGAAGAGAGTTTGGTGAGAAGAGAAAAGGGTGACGGTGCACAAAGTGGCCAGGCGAGCCACTTACAAATCCACCAAGGCGGCGAGGGGGAATGGATGGAGAGATTTGGGTTCCGCAGTGAAATGCCCGATGAGGACGAGAAGGAGAAGCAGAAATTTGAAGCAAGGCTGGAGAAGGTCGAGCCTGAGGAGAGAGAGTTATTAATTGCAGAGAGGGATAACCTCCTCCATCAGCGGTTGTTAAGTCAAAAGAGGCGGGAGTTTGAAGAAAAGAAAAAGTTGAGGGAGGAGGGAGAAGCGCTCCAGCGAAGGTTGAAAGAGCAGAGGAGCAAGGAGACTGACACAAAGGAGGCTTTGACGCTCGTGACCGACGCCCTGCTGCACACCGCCCAGGAATTGACCGCACTGTAGAAAACCATAGGGAAATTGGAACGACACCAAGAAAAATTTAAGGATACGTGGAACGATTTCCTCTGCGCATCCACTCACCGGATTGACGATAGGAACGCCAATTATGCTCAGCAGTTAGAAGACATCTTCACCAACAAGCTTGGGAACACCATCGCAGCAGTAAAGATAGGCGGCGGTGGTGGAGGAGGAGATGGTGGAGATCCGGGAGATGATGGAAAAGGAGGAGGAGATCGAAAAGGAGATGAGAACCGGAAGGGGAATGAACAGCGAACTGAAGGAGGAGAAAGGAGGGAGAAGATGAAGGTTAAGGTCCCGTGGACCTACAACGGGAAGAAAGAAGAGAACTTTTTGTGTTGGCAGGCAGCAATGGACACGTATCTGTATGCGCAGTTAATTCCTTACCATGACCGTGTGTTGATGGCCAGTTCATGTCTTGGAGGGGACGCTRCCAACTTCGCCTTATCCKTGATKAAGGCAGCGGGTTGCTCGTCGATGGTAGAGTATTCCCAACGCAACCGCATAGAGGACTTTATGAAAGCTCTCAAGGAAAGGTTCGAGGACAAGAACCTGGCCCRACGTACAGAGTACCTGATTCTCAACATCGGTAATCGCAGGTGGAAGAGTGTGTCCGCTTTGAAGTCCACAATGGACGAACTGCTGCAGTGTCCCGAGCACGGGTTGACTCCCACGCAGATTCTGAACAACTTCGCAAAGGCACTTCCCGATCCTCTGAAGTCCCAATTGTACGCCCAGACAAAGGAAGAGGGCATGACGTATGAAAAGTTCAGCAAGATTGCTGTAGACCAGGCCGGTTTCCTTCAAGAAGCAGATTACTGTCATTATTGGAAGGATTTGCAGAAAGGGAACCGATGGAAGAACAAGACCATATCCGGTAACATCGAGGGGAAGGACGGGCTTCTAGTTACATTTGAGGAGGGGGGAGTGGAGGCTCTACCCTACGAAAACATAGATTACGGAYTGGAAGACSYGGACAGCAACCAATTAGCCCAGGGAGGGGACTATGCGGTTGTTGCAGCCCGCGGGGGAGGGCGACAAGGAGGTAGAGGAGGCCGAGGTAGAGGAGGCCGAGGTAGAGGAGGCCGAGGTAGAGGAGGCCGAGGAAGAGGTGGAGGTAGAGGACGCAGCACCCAGGGGAGTAGCAGCGAAGGTAGCTACTACGTGGGAGGTAGGGGTAATGGTTCCCCGCAAGGTGGACGTGGTTCTCCCTTCACAGGTGGAAGAGGTAGAGGGCGCAAGCCATGGCCAGCCCATCCTGGGATTGCCGATGGCGAGCCCTGGAGGGAGATGGGCATTGACCAAACAGTGTGGCAGAAAAGGCTGAACGCCAATCAATGCTTGAAATGTGGTGATCCTCATCACATTGTCTGTTTTTGCCCCGACTACCGCTACCCAAAAGGGAGCAGCCAGTAGGGGTGGCAGCTGCTCCTACAGGGCCTTCAGACTTAGACAGACAGATAGAAGCGCGCGTTGAACAGACACCCTCCTGTCTGAAGAGCCCAATGGCAGAAGCTGATGCAGGCCCCCACCTAGATGGCTGTCCAGAGACTGCTTGTGCTAGGGTCTCTCTAGGTGGTTCCCTCGCAGGCATTGGTGATGAGCTGATCACTCGTCGCCCCGCCTGGGCTGAAATGAAGAAGAGAAGAGGACAGCTAATTTTGGGAGATGTAGAGATTAGTCGGACGCGAGTAGGAGCCTTAGTGGATAGTGGCTCTACGCGTAGTTTTATTAGTAGAAGAGGACTGAAGAAGTTGCACGTAGGAATGAAGGTGCAGAAGTTGAGCGAGCCGGTAGTGAGTAGACTGGTCGATAATCGTGAGATGCGTGTGGAGGAATATGTCGAGGGGATCAAGGCATACTTCCGGTTAGAGGAGGGAAGGAAAGTAGAGAAGGTTTTGCATTCCCTCACCCTCTCAGTGGAAGACAACCTTCCCTTTGACTTGATTTTAGGGACAGACTGGGGAGAATCAACCATGGCAGATGGCAAGATGGGTCAGCACGAGTGCTGGCTGCCCAGCCCCACCGGGGGCAAGAAAAAGATGAGGCTGTTCCATGAGTCCGGTCTAGAGTCCCACTTATCTGTTTGTTGTATGAGTGCCCCGCGTTCGCCCGACACGTGACAAAGGAAAAGTTGGAAGATCAGGTGTTTGTGGCCTATGTGAAACCGGTGTGTGAAGAGAGTAAGGGTGAAGACAAGACGCCGCCCCAAGTGGAGAACCTGCAGCGAGAGTTTGCTAACGTCGGAGAAGCCCCAACCGGAGTAGTAGAGCGGGACGCCAAGCACCGGATTGAAATAGAGCCCGGTGGCAAGATTCCCAGGGGCCCAGTCTATAGAATGTCTCCCAAGGAACTGGATGAACTGCGCAGGCAACTAGATGAGCTGATTGAGAAGGGGTGGATAAAGCCCAGTTCGTCACCATACGGTGCACCGGTTCTATTCGTGCGGAAGAAAGAGGGTGAATTGCGGTTGTGCATTGATTATCGGGGATTGAATGCTATCACGGTCAAGAATGCTGAACCGTTGCCCCGGATTGATGACCTCTTAGACAGGGTGCAGGGATGTAAGTATTTCTCCAAGATAGATTTGAAGTCCGGGTACCACCAGGTTGAGGTACAGCCGGAGGACCAGCACAAGACGGCCTTTACGACTCGCTATGGTCACTACGAGTTTGTTGTGATGCCGTTTGGGTTGACCAATGCTCCTGCAACATTCCAAAGATGCATGAATAATCTGTTTAGAGATTGGTTGGATAAGTTTGTTGTAGTTTATTTAGATGATATTCTGATCTTTAGCAAGAGCTTGGAGGAGCATCAGAATCATCTACGTCAGATATTGACCAAATCGCGTGAGTCTAATTTTAAGATTAACCCGAAGAAGTGTGAGTGGGCCTAGCGTCAAGTCCTGTATTTGGGACACGTGGTAGATGGAGATGGAGTGAGACCGGAGGACGCCAAGATAGCAGCAATTCGTGACTGGCCAACCCCGCACACGTTGACTGAGTTGCGGTCGTTCTTAGGACTGGCCAACTACTACCGGAAGTTCGTTCGTAACTTCACTTCCATTGCTGCTCCTTTGCGTCGGCTCCTGCGAAAGGAAACTGTTTGGAATTGGTACAAGGACTGTACATCAGCCTTCAAGAAGTTGAAAAAGTCCCTTATCGAGTACCCGGTCCTTAAAATAGTTGATCCATCCTTACCGTTTGTTGCAACTACCGATGCTAGCCAGTACGACATTGGCGCTGTTCTCCAACAGAATGATGGAGATGGGTACAGGCCTGTTGAGTTTATGTCTTGCAGGCTCCCTAGTGAGAAGGTAGCAGCATCAACTTATGAGCGTGAGCTCTTTGCCCTCAGACAGGCTTTAGACCATTGGCGACACTACCTGCTAGGACGACACTTCAAGGTATACTCAGATCATAAAACTCTGCGTTGGTTGAAGACCTAGGCCCGCATGACTCCTAAGTTGACTAGGTGGGCTGGGGAGATTGATCAGTTTGATTTTGAGTTGAAACCAGTCAAGGGTAAGTACAATGTCGTTGCTGATGCATTGAGCAGACGTGCAGATTTCTTTGGTGCAATAGTGACTTACCTAGACGTTGGCGCAGATCTGCAGCAAAAGATCAAGGCTGCATACACTGATAATCCCGTGTATAGTACGCTGATAAAGAAGGTGCAGACCACACCTCAGGAAGTCGCTGATTTCAGAATGGTCGATGGATTGCTGTTTGAAAAGACTGATGTGCATGATAGGCTCTGCATACCGTGTAATGAAGAGGTACGCAGTCTGATCCTAGGGGGATGCCACGATACTGAAGGCCACTTTGGCTGGCGGAAGACCTATGCTACCCTACTAAGGTCCTACACGTGGCCAGGCATGAAACATGATTGTATCACCTACATCCAAGGCTGCCAAGTATGTCAGAGGAACAAGAGTTCCACGCAGCCTCCCCTCGGACTGTTGAAACCCTTGCCTATCCCATCTGGTCCYGGTGAATCTGTATCTATAGATTTCATGGACACTAAGGTCAAGAGTCGTAGTGGGAAGAGTCRGGTCATGGTCGTAGTTGAMAGGTTTAGTAWWTTCGCCGTTTTTGTACCATTACCTGYTGAAGCAAAGACARATCTGGTCATCAAAGAGTKCTTTAATCATTGGGTCARGGATTACGGTCACCCGTTGAGSATAGTTAGTGACCGAGATACCCGGTTCACAGGGGAACAGTGGCAGCAGTTAATGAAGGTCTACGGATCTAAGTTAGCTATGTCATCTGGTCGCCACCCTGAGACAAATGGCCAGATCGAACAGATGAACATAATTCTACAACAAGTACTGCGTATGTACATTAGACCAGATCAGGTAGATTGGGATGAACATCTTCCCAAAGTAGCTAGTGCGTATAACAACTCAGTTCACCTAGCTACCTTGCGGACCCCGAACGAGCTCCATAGAGGCTGGAGTTCCCGACGTCCCATAGACTGTTTGAATCCGGATCAGATCCAGAGACTGCCACCTGGCACACGTGACTTTTCTCGGAGGACCTCGAAATTAGGCCGGCGGGAGTGAATGGATTCACACTGCAAGCTTTCCCAGTCCCGGTTACAGGGTCCTACATCATCCCAGTCCCAGGCTCCTGTCGATTAGCATCTTAGGGCCTGTAGGATCAGGCGTCGCCCAAAATAGCATTTTGGCAAGGCAGAGGCCGAAGGAGGCCAGTACCGATTGAAGCAGGAACGAAACAGTCCACTTCAGCTATATATCTTGGACTACAGTGCCAAAAGGGTCACTTGTTCATTTCGCAGAATTGTGGAAGCGTTGCGAGAGCTTGTGCGATCAAGCGACCTGGACGAAGAAGGAGCACAAGGGGGGAGAAGTGCGCAGTGCCTGGCTGCTACAGTCAGCCATAGCCAGGCGAGAGGGGAGAGGTTCCCCGGTGGCCATAGCCACCCAGAATCAGTAAGGCACACCGTAGTAGCATTCAGGGTAGATCTAGGACGTCGAGAGAGGAACAGTCAGTGAGGAACAGTGAGGGAGGAACAATGCAAGAGAGAGAGAGAAAGAGACTATCGAGAGAGACAGGGAAAGAAAGAAAGAGAGAAGAGAATCAGCCGAGGGAGGAGGAAGTTGGTTACATACCTGAGGCTTATTGCAGCGGTTCAAACTGCTTATTCTCAAACTTTTCCAATTGTATATTATTGCACCTTGAGTGGAACTTCGAATTTGCACTGTTCATGGACATCACTCCAGCTTGTGTGAACTTCATCTGATTGCTCTCAATTTGCATGTTATATTCTAAGATTGAATCTTGAGAGGTTCATTTCACTACACACAAGTCAACAAAAACAGCATGACTGCGGCAGACTATTTCGTCGATCTTTTACTGACTCATCAGGAGGTTGAACCCCGACAGTATGCCCAGGATGCATAAGGACTTACCACCCCCACCCAGAGTCAGTGATATCCCTGAGAAAAGTGGTCTACTTTACTCTGTGTGTGTGTGCGCACGGTCCATTCATATTCGCTACACACAACTCCACAAAAACAGCATGACTGCGGCAGACTATTTCGTCGATCTTTTAATGACTCATCAGGAGGTTGAACCCCGACAGTATGCCCAGGATGCATACGGACTTATCACGCCCACCCAGAGTCAGTGATATCCCTGAGAAAAGTGGTCTACTGTGTCTGTGTGTGTGTGTGCGCGGTCCATCAATCTATCCATCTGTGTGCCTGCAATCAATCAATCAATGAACTTCTTTGATTGATTGATTGATTGATCAATTTGATCTATAGATAACAAATGAACCAAAAAAGGAACAAAAAAAAAACTTTGAAAAAGAAAAGGAGGACATGGGGGGAGGAGGTATCAAATCATTTGAGAACCCCCCTTCTTCGTTGATCTTTTTTTTTTTTTTTGGCTCATCATGTCTGAAATTTGTAGGGATATAGTCCAAGAGCAGGGGGATCTGCAAAAAGTTCAAAAGAAAAAAAAAAACAGACAACAAATACGATCTGTCAAGAAAACAGGAGAAAAAAACACTACAGGAGTGAAACGAGACAAAATACTTGCATAGTAGTAGTCCTACTGTCCTTGCTCCACTACCAACGAAACGGGCGAAATGAGAATAGATCTTCCATTAAGACATACTCTCTCTACTACTCACCAAATGAGTGAAATGAGACTGAATCCTGGGCTAGAATATGGAAAGATACACCAATATTTTTTGCTGTTTTTTTTCTGGAGAGTAGTGGAGCCAGGCCCTTCGTATTTTTCTGTTGTGCATGTAGCTCCACTACTCTCCACATGCAGAAAAGTGGCAGTGTATGTGTCCATGTTCTAGCGGAGAATTCAGGGGCTCGTTAGACACTCCTCGGGCGCATAAATTCCTCGAGGAAATTATCGTTGCACCTATCCTCGGGGACAAAAAAGAAAAGCAAAAGTGAAACATTTCCTCCGGGAATCTTCGGGGCGTCCTCGAGCTACAGGCATTTTGTGGCCTCCCCCAAGCTACCTCCCGAGGTTCCTCAGAGGTGAAGGATCCACGATAATGGGAGTGGTGAGGGCACCCGTTGTTGGCATCAAATTTTCTTCAGATGGTCCATTGGAGTTCCTACCGGGCAGCGCACGGACATCTTCGGTCTTCAACGTTCAACTTCCAGGAACCTTACGCCAATGGTAACTGTTTGCGGCCTGCCGGCCCCCGTCCACGTCGTCGACCAGCGTTCTCCCTCGCAGTGCCTGCCGCCAAACGGAAAGGGGTCCAACGGTCACCAAATTTGAATATTT